TTCGGTATCATTTTCCATTCCAACCGATATAGTCACTTGGTTCGGCCGAAACCGACTGAGAGCACAACTCTCGTGCAACGGTGACCACGAGAGGTGCACTCTCGTGTTGCACCACAGCATGAGAGATGTACTCTCATGTTGTCTGGTCCTTGTGCTCTCGTGTGAACCTGCACCCCAACGGTCTGAGACCCGAAAGTTCAGAAGATTAAACTCATCTGTTACAGAATTAATACTGTTTTAATTCCAATTTTTAAATCTGAGTTTAATCCTACTTAGTGGGTGGCTGTTACAGGTGTTATACAATTGGTTTTAATACCAATTAATGGCCATGTTGAATGCTATCCCTCCAACATCCCTATATAAAGAGAGGTACAACAGAAGCATTTTATACAGTACAAAACAAAAGAAATTCCAGTACAATTTTGCTTCAAAAACTTCTGCTTCTACTCTCTTCTTTCACAAACTGTGTTCTTGCTCTTGCTTTGTTTGCCGGGTTCTTTGTTTAGGTGCTTAAACAAAGAATCGTAGCACATTTTATCCTGGGAAACCTAGGCTACAACGCTCCTAGCACTTGTGGGAGGTAGCAAATAAGGTTTTAAGGAAAAGAACTTTGTGTTCGAACTCGTGCTAAACCTATATCCAAACACTCTACTTTTTCCTTCCAGTTTTCTGTTTTTTCCATATAATAATAATTTTTCTGTAGAATTATTATTTTGGGATTTTCCACCTTTTTACCCAACATTTACTTGTATATTATCCGTTCTTTACTGTACACTTATAAATTCTTTTAAATTATATATTTTTTATTTTTTTTTATTTTACCCTTTAAATTTTAAATATAATAACTTATAAATGATATTTAATTACTTTTACTAGGTTGAGAAAGTAATTATGAACAGATACGACATTGAAACAAAGTCCGTCTTAACAAAATTTACTTTTTTTTTAAATAATTAACAATTTTTTCTAATTTTATATTTTTCTTTGTTCATGATGTATTATTAATTATTTCTATTATCACTTTCTCTTTATAATTTTATTATTTGTTTATTCATTGGTATTTGTTCAGACATGCATGCCATGCATTGTTTTTAATTAGTAGTGTTTTATAAAGTCAAATTGGCCTGTGAAAGTTTGTGCACAAAAAGCACTTTTTGTACATTTTAAAAAGAATAATAATTAAATCAAAGACTTCATACTTAAAGTTAATACTCACATTGTCAAACAAAGTTGCTTAGTCAAAACAAAACAACTCAAAGTTACCATTGATTCAATATTGTATCACTTGGTTTAGTCTAAATTCATGTGTTGTGTAATTACTGAATTTTGCTATTTTACATTGACTAATTAATATCATATTATGAAAATGTTCTGTTTATTATGTTTCCTTGTTGTGGTTATACATTTTTAATTGAGAAATTCAGAATTTTAATTCAATTTGTAACCAAAAGCATATCAAATAGTTATATTTCAAGAAAAAATATGAACACTAATGACATAGTATCCTGGAGATATACAATTTTATATCCTAAAACATATATCTAATAATCACTTCCTTAGAATGTAAAAGCGGGTTAGCTTGCGGCCAACCCTAACCCGCATTACGGTGGGGCGAGTTAGGGTTGAAAAGGTTTTACCCACGAAGAAACGGGCCTCACGGGTTTTTATTAATTTTATTTTTAAAAATAGAAAGATAGTAAGTAGTCATAAATATTTCTAAAACATTCATTCTTTTAAATCATGTTATATATTATTGTTCATTGTATTCTATATAATATAAATATAATTAATACTTTAATATAAAATAAATTAGTACAAACTATGATTATAATTAAAACATGAAAATATCATTCTCTATCAATTCATAATATATATAAATTAAAATTTATATGTTTTTCCTAATTATATATTAAAATATAGTATGTAATTAATGTAATATAAACATTTTCTTCTTCTTTTTTTTTGAAAATATAAACATTTTCTTTTTAATTTAATTTTTTTTTAAAAAAGAAGATTTGAAGCTAGCCCGTGGGACTTGTAATAATCCGCAATTCCGCATGGGACGAATTAAGGTCAAAGAAATTTGGCCAGCAAGCTGGCCGACAAAGGCCCGCGAAATTTCTAGTCCGTCATTAGGCAGGCCGGCCCGCATTAACATGCCGAAATACTATGTAGGTTAACTAATTACTATGCAAAATTCTAATTTTTTTAATGATAGCATTTAATTATCCAAATAATTTATACTAAGATTAGTCAAGTCAATATAGTAATTGAATAAAAGATTAAAAAAAAAAAAAAAACTACATAGATGCAGGCATGCAGCATAGCAGTGCCACATGCATAAGGGAATATTAGGTAATGGTTTTAGTATGGAAAAAATACCACTATTTATAAATGAAAGAAATTTATCACCAAACACATTTACGAAAAAATCCAAAAAATAAAAAAATAAAAAAAATAGAGAAGTTAATTGAAGTGATGTCCTATGGACTTTAGTAAAAATAAAGAAATAGAAGTTTAAAAGTATAGGTGTAAAGGTTAAAGTAAAAAAAAAAAATATTAAAACGATGGTGACATTTGATTGGTAAAGAGCCAATGGTTGATTTTGGTGGCCGGCCGGCCGGTGGTGCAAATGGTTGTGTGTTTTGGTGGAAGACCGAATATATATTGACTCTTAAAGAGTAATAATTTTTATTTTTTGTTTTATTTATTTATTTTATTTATTTATTTTATTTTATTTTATTTTATTTTTATATCTAACGAGACAAAGCTCGGTGTCGTACATTAGTACATATGACACCCTACGATGATTTCTCGGTTACATAGCATCTCAACCTTATCATCTAGGATTTTCGTCATGATGCCGCTTGGAGGATGCTCACATTCGATCAACTTGGTTATCCCGGTGGTTAGCTTTTTTGGCCATAATGTAATGTTTAAGGGTAATAATGTAAAAATTTTAGTTCTTCATGATTCAATTTGTCCATCTCAACAATAAGCTAATTTTTTCATTATTATTCTTAAATTTAATGTTTATTAAAGGGATATTTAACTGAATAACCAAATTTAAAACAAAATCAATAGTCAATGAACCATTTATGGTCATATTGAAAGTTGATGACAAGAATTGGTAAAGATCAATAGTCAATGAACCATTTATTGTCCAATTGAAGGTCAAATTATAAGAATTGATAAATGACAATAGTCAATGAACCATTCCTAGAATTAACCGAAATTTTTACTTATCTTATTCATTCAAATAATTAAAGTAGGTACAAATTTTTTAAAATGTAATGTGGATGCAGCTATCTTCTCGGATGGTGTTGGGTATGGTGCGGTAATCAGCGATCATACTGGTCATTTTGTCGCGGCTCGTAGTGCCCGGATTGATTGTGATCGTGACCCCTTGTTGGCAAAATACATGGCCGTGGAGGCACTCTCCTGGCTTAAATCTAGTGGCTTTAATAATTTAGTTATTGAATCAGATTGTCTTAATTTTTGTTCTTGTTTTCATTTGAATACTTTAGACCTTTCATATGTTGGTTTGTTAGTTAAGCAATGTCGTATTATTGTTGCTGACATTGGGAACGTATATGTTCACCATGTCAAGAGGTCAACGAATCATGTGGCTCATGTGTTAGCACGAACAACTGATTCTCCGTCTGTCCTAGGGTCGTGGCTATGTGTTCCACTGGCCTGTATCTCCCACTTTGTTGATTATTAATGCAATTATGTCTTTCCTTCAAAAAGTAGGTACAAATTTGATAGTTAATGACATAATTAAACAAAATCAAAAGTCAATAATTAAAGTAATAAAATTATTATGGTGGATGGAACATTTCAATATATTAATCAAATTAAACCATGTTAAAAATTAGGTGAATTATAAGTACATCACCACGTAGCAGTTATCTATGTATTCCATGGCAATGGTAAATTTAGGTCACATTTATATGTATGCTTATAAAATCAATTGTTATATTGTACAAGTAGGAAGTTCACATGAAAAATTACAAGATAGTACCGAATTAGACCTTTACAAAATCATATGTAAGCAAAAATATTTAAATCATGACTAAAAACTAAACAACAAACTAATGTCGATATAAAGTAAAGTTTTTTTCTTTTTTAATGTATTGTTTTATAAAAGGAAGGAGATAAATAAAGTTCTCACGAGAACGGAGGAAGACAAAGGATATGGACTTAGCCGGCAAATTATGCTATGGGTGGACACGGTTCTAAAATTGTTCATAATTATAAATATATAGTTTAAAAATTATGAATGTATAGTTCTATAATTATGAACATAGAGTTGTGAATATAATTATGAACATATAGTTCTGTAATTATGAATATAGAGATTCAATAATTGTGAATATGAAATTAGAAAATTATGAATATATAGAGTTCAATAATTATAAATATGAAGTTCAAAAATTATAAATATATAATTTTATAATTGTGAATATATAGTTCAATAATTATGAGCATAGAACTGTGTCCATCTTACCAGGTGGACATGGTTCCACAGCATAACGAATAGAATATATTTAATTCGCTGACAAAATAGAATATATATTTTTCAATTTTGGTTACCATATTGGTGATACAAAATCACTATTTTTTTTTTCTGTAGCAATATTTTACTTTTAGTTTTTTTTTTTTTTTTTTTTTTTTTTTTTTTTTTTTTTTTTTTTTAATTCAAAGCACTTAAAAAAATGAAGTGATAATATCATTGATATTTATTAAATGTGATAATTTTTTGTTGGACATCCCAATATTAGGAGGAAAACCCAATATCATTGTTTACAGACAATTATATTCAATGATCAAATTGTTTAAAATTGATTCCTCACCAGAAAAAAAAAAGTTGTTTAAAATTGAAAATTATGAACTACATTAACAATTGCAAAACAATTAGTGGATCAAAATGATGATTAACTCTTAAAAAATGTAAATTTGGACTATTATAAATGCATTTCTACCGTATGTTTTAGAAGTTACGAAATGCCGTCTTCTTTTCTTACACAGTACAAATTAGTGTTCTCCTTTACTCTAGATAGGTGAATTGTGGGTATAAAATACACAAAATTCCTCACATTATATTTTACATCATATATGGTAGCTAGCTATCTCCAAGTACATTTTCGCCTTTTCGGTAGCAATTGTAAATTTTTCTAAATCAAAATACATACTTACATGCAACATAATGTTCAGGCGTTGACCGACGAGCAAGAGCGTCGAATCTCTCCGTCGTCGTCTCCGACCTTGACTCCGATGCTCACAAGCTTCAAGAAGGATTGTTCCCAGCTGGTGAAGAAATTGTTTTGGTCGCCGGCGAAATCCTGCACTTTTTCCATGGCCCTTTTGTCTCTCAGCAAGGCAGAATCTGATTGGAAGAGTCCCCTGTGGGTATAGGTGACATGGCAAAATTGATGAGTTGGAAAATAGTATACACTTTTTTTTTTTTGAAAACATATTGTTTGGTTGTTAAAATATGAGTTCTATTATATGTACCCTCAAATCTTACCATTTTAATTTTATTCTCTAATGTGGCGGATGTTGATAAGTTATTTCTTTTATGTGGATCTCAATACAAGTGTTTAAATCAAAATTTTGTGTGTAAAAATAAAAGTTATGAGTATAAAGTGGAAGTACACATAATATTTTTCTTAATGTTACCTATGGAGCGAATTAAAGACCCCAAAGTGTGCAACTATACTAAGAATACCTTATTTGACATGCTCGATAAAAAGGGTGTTGGAAAGAGTCAATTTTTTAATAGTATATATAAGATTTCTCAAAAATTATCATACTCATCACGAAGCACATTATTTAGTAGTGTATACTCGGTAATATTTATCTAAAAAACATTTTTGTTTAAAGTACTTATACCTGTGTGCTAGCAAATCCTTGTAGTACTGGTTGTCAAACAAAGACGGCGTTACGGGGTCGTTGTTGACTGTGACGGCGTCGCTTGCTCCCGCCGGGCACTGCCGTGCTAGCTCCGCCGCGTATGCGTGGTCTAGGGCGGCGTCTATGGGGAGAAAGCTGCCATTGGAGGCCAGCTGGAATCTGTCGCTGAAAGCACTGCAATGGGCCGATCCTATGGTGTGTGCCCCTGCATTTGCATTGGTGTTTGGTAATCAATTAATGAATGGTATGTGTAGGTGTAAATGCATGCATGCGCCAACTGCCATACCCTTAGTGTTTGAGTTATTATCTTCTCCCAAAAGGTTGGAATCCTAATTCCAAGTCCACTCCAGTCTGATGATAGAGCATTTGGGAAGATGTAAGACCGGTGAGTTAGTGGGACGAGCATATAGATCTTTATACATATTATTACTTACAATTTCAAATTCAATCAATATTTCTAATAATTTATTTTTACCAACCAAACAATTAAATTCATCTTCCTCATTTTTTTTTCATAGAATTTCAATTTCACTCATCCTCAAAAAAATTTCCGTGATTTTTTTCTGAATACTATTGACTCTATTACAAGGTAATATCTGTTCTATAATTTCTCTAACTATTGCAGCCCAAAGAGTCAATACCCAACCAGAGTTGGATCCTGTGACTTTCCCTCAAGGGGAGCCACAGAGGTGTCATCTGAGCACAAGGTATTTGGTAAGAACATATAAGCCCACTTTGGTAAAATAGTTAGCTTATAGGCAAATTTTGGCTTATTTGACCACTATTAGTTGTTTGACTGGTTTAAAAATTAATATAACAGGGCGTTTGGTTGGAGGGATTTTAAATTCTCTTCCCACTTAATTCCCACCTAATTCCAAAGACCATTAAATTCCGTAGTTTGGTTGGAGGGAATTGGAATTGCAATTCCCCCATTTTCATGGAATTAAAATCTCATGTCCCCCTGGTATTTTAATTCCTGGGAAAAAAGATAGTGATGAGTCAAAATTACCCCTTCCTTTTTTAACTTAAAATTAATGTCTAACAACAATAATGGACATTTTTGACTTTATATTACTTATTCCCTTTCAATTCCCATGTATACCAAACATTGGAATTGAAATTCCTAGTAATTTTAGTCCTGTCAACCAAACACTGGAATTTAAATTCTCACTTTATTCCCAGTAATTCAACTCCCATGGAATTACAATTCCTTTCCCACATAATTCCCTCCCTCCAACCAAACGCCCTTTAAGTGTTTGGTTGATTAGTCTTTTGTATTCCAAAATGCTAAAATTCAAAAAGTTACTCAAAACAACTTTTTCAATTAGCTTTTTGAGAAAAAAAAAAATTATACAAAACATCTAACAACTAACAACTAATTTACCAAACATCTTTCTACAATCAGCTAATGTTATCAACTAGTTATACCCTCTAATTAACCCAATCAGCTAACAACAATTAACAGCTAGTCATTTAACAAACGGGGCGTTCTTGTGACACTTAAATCTTGGATTTAAGATATATATGCTTATACTTGGTGGTTGTGGGAATTGAAGTTTGAAGTGTACCTGAGAGGGTAACAAGGTCATCTAAAGACAGCCCTTTTGCAGCAAAGATTTTCATCATCTCATCCATTGTGAAACTTGTGTCTATTATGTTTGGTCTCACGTTTTTACCCAAACTAACCCTCCCATCTCTCCTCCCTGTCGGTATCGCAACACTTGGTCCCCCTACCTGCAGTACATACATGCCTGTTTAGTTTAACTAATAATAACAATTTTTTTTTTTTTTTTTTGTGACAGAAACCTGTAACAACTATCTAAAAGGTAAATTTGTTCTTTAAGTAGTAATAATTCATAAACCGCATAGATTGGAATATTACTATATTACTATACGTACAAATTCAACTGCGTCTCGAGCAGCCAGGGCAATTATATCAGCACAAGAAACAGTTTCAGGACAGAAGATCTCTAGCACTCTCTTTGCCGAATCAACGGTGGAGAATCCTCCCACGGACTTGTTTGCTGGATCACTCCTCTCTGTGTCATTTCCTTGCAACAGTATAGATGCATCGCAGCCCTGCTAAGCAATGATATATGTACACTCATTAGATTTACTTTATATATACATATAATTCGAAACAACTCTCCCTCATTATGGTCTTTTGCTAATTATGATCAAAAAGTGATACTCCGGATATACTTAACAGGCTCTGATACAGTGTTGTAATAGGGGGCTATAATGTCAATAAGTCAAATGACATTTAAATTGAATATAAAACTTATAGTCTTATAAACTCATATGTTCTGTTATTTTATCAATGTGAAACTCTTAACAAAGGCAAAGGCAGATCATACCTCAACAAAGCAGTCGTGGAAGAGGAGGCGGAGAAGTTTTCCGGGGAGGGTGGGGTCCACAGAAGAAGCCGATCTCACGGTGTTCTTCACTATCAACTCCGCCGACGGGCAAGAAATGGCGTAGAAGTTGAACGAAAGGCTCGACGCCGACGCCGGAGACAACAATTGCAGCATCATCAGAGTCGTCACGGCGACAACGTTGTACAGATAATGGAACCTCCGGCGGCGGCACCGGCATGTTGGTGCTTTCTCCATGGTTGCACAGTACACTGAACACTGGCTATATATTGGTACTAATAAGCAAGAAGGATGTTTTAATTATATATTTATCTGTGTAAGGCTTTTTTGCAAATTTTGTGGTGGAATAGAATGGGTCGACATGGGGAGAGTAGAATGGTGGAGTTATGGGTGCATTTATTTGGCTCAGTATTTACTCGTTTCTGACAAGGTAGGAGGTCGATGAGCTCCTAATTAAGCTAGCTGCAGGAGTTACGTGTACTGTTCCAACACTCCATCTCACTTCCAAAATTGACCATTTACAACTTTTATATGAAAAATAAATTTATCAGTGCAATATGAAAAAATAAAAATAAAAATTGGTGAAGGTCACAAGATCGAATTGCTGGTGATAGGAATTGATTCTATGAGTTATAAATCTAAAATATATGGACTCGAAGGTATGTGCTGATCTTTAGAGCACCCCAATAGTTGCAAATTTTGAGAAGTTTTTGCATGACTAGGAAAGAGAAGAAGGAAGGAAAAAAATAATAAATCTTTAAAAAAAAAGTTTCTTTAACGCGATTGTAGCGAGAAAAGCTATTTTTCTTGGGGGGTCCCAAAATTATAGAACCTTTGAGGGTACACATACCGGAAATCAGTCATTTTACAACACATGGCGTTTGAAAACTGGATAATTCAGTCGGCCATACATCTTTATATTAAAGCAATCCAGTCTTTCACAAGTGGTTCTATGGTGTAGTGGTTAGCACTCTGGACTTTGAATCCAGCGACCTGGGTTCGACTCCCGGTAGGACCTTGCCCAGCTTTTTTCTACATTTTAAGCATTCGCAAAGTTATACTTTAATAAGTTTAGCCCAACGTGACATGAGTGTGTTAGGTTGTCAACTATCTTAATATGCTTAAATATTACGGAGTAATTATACTGTAACTTAAAATATTACATTAAATTATTATTTTTAAATTCCAACATTAAAAAAAATGACCATAAACTTTTTTCAATTTTTTTTTCTAAATTAAGAAATGGCAAAGTTGTTTTCAAACAAGTTTTGGAGACAAAATATTTGCAAAACAAAAAAACGCAACTTTCATAAAATTTGCATGCAATACGGGTGGTTAGATTTCCATCCAAACATTATAAAAAATTCACGAAGTGTCTTTTGAAAATAATATTTCTCTTTATTACATAAGAATAATGTTATCGATGGTTGCCTCCACAACAGAGAATGCGGTGTTACGAAGAACACTCATACTAGATTCAGTATAAAAGATAACACATTAAGGAGTTGTTGACCATCATTGGCATTGGTTGATTAACGTGTTTATATTTTGATGTGACGATAAAATTTCTTTAGCGACTTATGAATTGACAAATTCTATTATAGTTTATAAAATGGTTAAATACAGTTAACAATTAATAATCAAATGCAATAACTAGTACCATAGGAAGATGTGAATATTAACTTAGTAAGAAATAAATTCAAAATAAGAAAGTAACATTACTCGTTATATAATTTTAATGTGCAAATATGTGATACATATTAAAATTAAAAGTAACATATTTTCATACTCTTTTAAAAATTGAACTTTCAATTTTAATATTACATAGCAGTCTCAAGAGTATTGGTTTTTGTAAGCCAACTAGAAAAGGGAGGAAGAGAAGAGGGGGACAAAATGAAAAAGGAAAATAAAATTTACACACTCAACTTGGCGCATGCAACTGAGCGTGACAATGCAGTTAGTTATGCGACGATTGTTTCCATTCTCCTTATTCAGTGAGTTTCACAAAAATTTATTATTTGCAGGAGAAACAAACTTTTAAGAATCCCACCTCCATTACTCTAAAAACAAATCTTAAATTGTTTGGTTAGCAAAAAATCCCAAAAAACTACTAATAAGATTGGCCTTAGCAATATGCTTTAATGAAATTTTGTAGTATTAAAAAAATTACCCATAAAGAAATGATCGACTGAATGAAGCATAATTTCCGTACTTGATAGTGACAAATTCAATTTTTTCTATCACTTTCCCGATGTAGTAAAAAAAAAAAAAAATGCAAAGTGGATATAACTGGAATTAATTAGAACTAACAAATGTAGAAGTTCAAACTTCTATCCCTTTGGTAGTCACTATTTCTTTCTTCACCAGTTCACCCCTAAAACCTCTTTAAAACCCTAAAGAAAAATCTCCAATGCCTCTCGAAACCATATCCAATTAGTCCTTAAACATGTCTCTTTCCATCTCTTCTTCTTCTTCTTCACTATTCTCTCCTCTAATTCCTCTCCGCTCCGTAAGCATTTTCCACTGCTCTCCCCTTAATACTCACGTTAATCTTTGATAAATTCTTCATTTTTCGCTAATTTCATCCTCAGGAAACTAACAGAAGGCCCTACGCGTTCTCGTATTGGAAGAACACGGTGAATAGAAGGATGCAGGTAGTTGCAGGGGCGAAGCGAATAGTTTACGGCAAAGAGTGCAGACAGGGGTTGCTGATTGGAATCAACAAACTAGCTGATGCTGTTTCTGTCACTCTAGGGCCTAAAGGTGAAATGAGTTTGTTTTTTAATCTCTGAATAAGGAGGTTTTCTGTAATTTAGAGCTTTATTAAACATTTCTAGAAGGTGCTTGTTCCAATTGCTTGAAAATCTTGATATCTCTAGGATATAGTACCTCTATAAACAATTTGAAAATCATATTTTTATCTGACTGTGAATGAATCACGCAGGGCGGAATGTAGTCCTGTCGGAAGGTGATACTGTTAAAGTAATAAACGATGGTGTTACGATTTCTCGAGCCATTGAGCTTTTTGATACAGTTGAAAATGCTGGGGCAATGCTGATTCAGGAGGTCAGACCTGTAAGGCTGAGTGTGATTTCTGCACTAATAATTGATCAATCAAATACAAGTAAATTTTCTGTATTGTAGGTAGCGACTAAGACAAATAGTTTAGCTGGTGATGGTACAACCACTGCCATTGTTTTGGCCCGTGAAATGATTAAGGCTGGGATGCTTGCTGCGTCTTATGGAGCTAATCCCGTTTCGTTGAAAAGAGGTATGGAGAGGACGGTGAAGGAATTGATTGAAGTTTTGAAGAAGAGTAGCTTTCCTGTTAAAGGAGCTGATGATATAAAGGGTACAGTTCTATTTCATGTTCAGTTTTTATTGAATTTCAATGGTAACTCTTCCCTTTTGTTATCGCAATGTCGAGGGAGTGAACTTCTATGTCTTTTTTCATTCGTACAGCTGTTGCTTCAATATCATCTGGGAATGATGAATTTATTGGGAACTTAATAGCTGATGCAATTGAGAAGATTGGCTCTGATGGAGTTATCTTTATTGAGTCTTCCTCCTCGACTGAAACCTCAATTATTGTTGAAGAGGGAATGAAGGTATTCTGATATGAGAACTTTATATATGCAGTCATAGAAAGAGAACCATACCATGCAAAAGGCTGTAGACACCAATTTGATACAATTATGGTTTATCCTGAATCAAAGTTTTGGCCCTTAAAATTTTTCCATGGGAATGAATGCATTGAGGTAGTCACCATTCCAAATTGTATTAGTAGATCTTTTAAGGATCAGATGCATGTCTCAATGACAAACTTGCAAAGAAGTGCTTTGAAACCCTTCATTTTGCTCATTATAAAACACTAATATCCAATCTGAAAGTTCCATATTTTATACAGATAAAAGGAATATTGTCATTTAGTTAACACTTGTGCCTTATCTAAATTCTCAACATTTGCATGCACATTACACACTCTTGTGTTGTTTCATGGTTTTCTTGATTCGTATCCAGGCATTATTTTCATGCAGATTGACAAGGGGTATATGTCGCCTCATTTCATTACAAATAAGGAAAAATCTACCGTAGAATTTGAAAATGCGAGAGTTCTGGTGACTGACCAAAAGATATCAACTGTAAAAGAAATTGTACCCTTGCTAGAGAAGGCCATCCAATTGAGTGTTCCACTGCTAATTATTGCTGAGGATATTTCGTTGAATGTTTTGGAAACACTTGTTACAAATAAGATGCAAGGAGTACTCACTGTCGCTGTAGTAAAATGCCCAGGCATTTTACATGGAAAGAAAGCTCTTTTGCAAGATATTGCTCTCATGACAGGTGATTTGACATGCTTTGTTCTGAAATATATATATTTTTTGAAAGTATGCATAGGGTGGTCTCTGAATCCTTCCCACTGCTGAAGGGATGATTTCCAATAGTTTCATTTTCTCTGAATAAATCAGATTAGTAGTCATGAAAGGAACCTTTGGTTGTCATGCTTCTTAGAACATTATGATCGAATGAAGTATTGCTACTTTTTTCTTTAGTTTCTGTTTCTGACATTCTGATTCACATAATCATATTGGAAACAGGGGCTGATTTTCTATCTGGAGAGTTGGGGCTTTCCCTTGAGGGAGCAACCTCTGATCAGCTTGGTATTGCTCGAAAGATAACCATAACAAACAATTCTACTACTATTGTTGCTGATCCTTCAACTAAAGCTGAAATACAGGCTAGAATACTGCAGATAAAGAAAGATCTTGAAGAAGCAGATAATAAATATTTGTCAGAAAAGCTCTCTGAAAGAATAGCAAAACTCTGTGGTGGCGTGGCTGTAATTAAGGTAAACCCAAACATTATTTATGCTTTTGCAAGCCATGTATGTTTCTACTTGGTGCTCGTCTTAAATAGTTACTTGGGTTAGATTATTTGATACTGAGCTAGGTTCCATGTTCAGGTTACTCTTATCATCTTACTCATGATGGATAAGGAGTAATGTATTGCAATGAATTGAACTTGAATTTGAAAATAGATGATAGTAATGCTGGTCCATATTGATAAAGAGGAAAAAAGGACAATAAAATATCTGATGCAGAGTGCCACTACTAGTTTCTGGTCTGAGTCAAATAGTGTTGCATTTACTAAAATTTTAAGTCTTCTGCCATCCTGCCTTTATTTCTCTCTATTCTTTTTGGTACATCTGAGGGGGTTAGGGATTGAACCTGTGACACTTTTCTAAAGTAACAGGCGTATGCTACTTGACTACAAAGGTTTTTGGGTATTTCTCTCTTTACTTTGTTAAATAAAGACTAACAAATATTTATTGTTAAGGTTGGAGCTCACACTGAGTTGGAATTGGAAGATCGAAAGCTAAGAATTGAGGATGCAAAACATGCCACATTTGCTGCCATGAAGGAAGGTATTGTACCTGGTGGTGGAGCCACATATGTACACCTCTCGAAAGAAATACCTGCCATTAAAAGCTCTCTCCAAGATCCAGATGAGCAAATTGGTGCTGACATAGTAAAACAGGTATTTTGTATATCTTTATTATTTACTTCAACATACAATTTGGCAATTTTTTTGGGGTACTTTAGTGCCCAGTTTTAGTGAAAAAACTAAATACTGAAGGAAGGAATTTCTGCTGTTGTCATAGGGCTCTAGTGGGTAGGGACTCTATGGTCTATTTTGGATTGAACTTCCGGAATCTTAATAATTAAAAGTATTTTGTTATGCAAGAATATGCCTTGTAACTAGTATGCTTCTGAGCTTCAATTGTAGTCATATTTCTGTCGACTCCAAATTCCAGGCACTTCTTGCTCCTGCAAAGCTTATTGCAGCTAACGCAGGAATTGACGGAGAGGTAGTTACACAGAAGATTCTAGCTTGCGACTGGAAAATGGGATTCAATGCCATGAATGGAAATTACGAAGACCTCATAGCTGCTGGTGTTATTGATCCCTGCCGTGTATTGAGGTGTGGCCTTCAGAATGCTGTCTCAGTTGCTAGTACAGTTCTAACAACTCAAGCTATAATGGTGGAGAAAACAAGAACAAGGAAACCTAAGGAGGGCATTCCCAAAATTCCCGGTATAACTCCTTATTAAAGTCGAGATGATGCAGGTAAAATCAAACACAGAAGGTCAAGCCAATCTTCCATTTGAAGTGATGGAAAACGCTGAATTTAATGAGATGGCTGCAGAGTTTTAGACAGCCATATACATTCGGGGCAATCGCGTTGGCTCATGGTTCTTCATGAGGAACTGTAAATTTCCAGAAGCAGAGAAGGTACAACATCTTGCACATGCATTTGCTCTGGTGTTTCTGCTGAAATGTCAACCACCATTAACAGTGTAGAGAATAGAGATGAAAGGTTGTTGATTCCAGGTTCTGATTGCTCAGTCACTTCTGGGTTTCTGGATTCTCAATGATAGCTAATGATGTCCAAATTTCAAAATTGGTTTGCGGAATGATGATTTCGGTATAGAAAAATCTTGGTTCTTATTTTTGCATGGTCTTGAATTCTGTGGAATTTGTGTGAAATGTTTATTTATTTCTAAAAATAAGAGTACAACAAACCATCTTGGTTTTTTGTTTTTGTTTTTTTTTTTTGTTTTTTGTTTTTGGGCAAGGACTCAAGATTGAATGACTTGATAACTGTAGTGTGGGAGTTTCACCCTCTTGTGGGGGGATTCCTTGTGGACAACACCAGATATTGATCCTCTCATTTAATAAATAACGGAAGACCTTAAGTAACTGTTTCATTCACAATTTTGTCGGTCTAGAGTGTAAAGACTTTTTGGGTGAGATTTTTTTTTTTTTAAAAAAAAAAAAAGAAAAAAATGAATTTTTCTATGAATCCTACAAGCAAGGAAAGGAAAGGAAAAAAAAAATTATTAATAAATACAAAATCGAAAGAGAGGAAAGAAGCTATATAGACCTAATACACTCAAACGAGATAGAAATAAGTGAGTCTATTTGTTGATTAAGTCTTTTAAATTATCTACCACTTACGATCATACGTTCAACACTAAGCCTCCATCACTTTGAAAGTAATTTTACAAAGTGAATTTTAATAATTTTTTATAATTTTTTAAAATTTTTTTACTACGTGTAAACATTGTTCTAGACTCGATCCTCATAACTTTCCTCCATATAATCATTCCGAGTTACTCTTCCAAATTAGACCAAATATTCACACCATGACGTCCATAATATCTTGAATTGGACCTGATTATTTTCAATCACATTCATCATGGGCCGCTAATATAGTGCTCTTGAGTTTAGCCTATTCCATGTTAAAGACGTTACTAAAGAGTGGGTCCCCAACATCTAATTTTCCATGTTTAATTCTTAAAATCCAGACTTAAACATTGATCTAAATTTGCTGAAAAACTACTTTTCACATACTATCCCCACAATAACACCATATATCTCTCCAAAAAGGCAAAAAGGTTCAGAAAACAAGTATAAAATGATGATAGTTGGTGTACTAGAATTCCTTTCCTTAAAGAAGTGTCAATTCATGCCAACGTGGCACTCCCCTCAATTTTCACACCTATTTATACCACCCTCACATCCACTCCAAACTATCCATTTCGCCTCTCTTAATTTTGCTTCTCACTACTCTCACACTGTGCCGCCACCTTTTCCGCATGGACGGAGTCGCCGGAAACTCGCCGGACTCTGACATGGAGACCCGAATCGAAGAGATATTCTCCCCGCTGTTCACCGACGACGACGACAGCGAGGCCTTCCCAGAGACAATGGTGGAGCAGATCGTGCAGAACATTTCCAAGGAGTTACTTGCCCTGGACAACGGCGACGGAGACGGCGGCGTACAGCCGGAATCAATGGCGGCCGGCGAGGAAGACGATTACTATGAAGAGTGGATCGCGAGTATTCTGAGTAACTTCACGGAGGAAGAGTTTGCGAGGTGGGCTGAAGAGTGTGAAGAGTTCCTTGGCTACAACAACTAGGTCGGAAAATTCTGCGTTGTTAGTTGTGCTGTTTGTTTGTTTGTGTGTCTTTGGTTTCTACTTAGTTTGCTTTCATAAATTTAAGTTTAATTTGTTGTTGTTCTTCTTCTTCTTAGCTTGGAGTTGGGCTTAGTTCATACACCAAAGGCACTGTAAAGTTAGTGTATGTGCTTTCTTTCCGTATATCATATGAAACATGACTCTATTATCCATATCTCAAATACCAATTTTAGTCACACTAGTATTAGCAAACTGAAAATTTTGGTCAACATGGTTAATTTCTACCAATTTACATCTACAACTATTGTTTTAGTACTAATTTTCATCCACTACTATTATTTTAGTGTTAAAATTCATCACACCGATCACCCATCCGTTTAAGATATGTCAAAATATGAAATTATTAAGAGTATTTTTGTCCTTTACAAATTAAGATCCTAATTTGGGTATGGATACAGAGATTTAAGCCCTAAGATCGATCTCAATTCACAGTTTTCCTCTTCAAATTAAAGTAGGATGAGGAGAAGAACGGTGAATTGAGATCAATCTTAGGGCTTAAATCTCATTATTCATGCTCAAATTGGGATCTTAAGTTGAAAAGGACGAAAATATCACTTTAGATTTCGGCATGACTTAAATGGAGGGGTGACCTTCGTGATGAATTTTGACACTAAAGCAATAGTCGTGGATAAAAATTGGTACTAGAACAATAGTCATGTATGTAAATTAGTAGAAATAAACATGTGGATCAAAACTGTCATTCTGCTAATACTTGTAGGACCAAAATTGATATTTGTTCCTTTTTTTTTTTTTTTTGGGTTATATCTAACCCCGAGGTGGTTGAGCAATGAGCATAAATACTTAGAAACACACTATTTAATTTGGTATCCGACAAAGGACATACATATTGAACATAAAACACATCATTAACCGAATAAGTCTAGTCTAAAATTGTCTCACCACGAGACGTGTAATACTTTTAATAAATGCTTAACAAATTATTGCATTTTAACTAAAAAGCATTAAGGTATGAGACAAACACACACGTCTTACTCTATTTATTAACCTGCGACTTTCTACATACAATAATTGTATTAATTTTGTGTCTGATTGTTGTCACGGACTTGTTCTCTCTAACAACGTCACGAGCGGCCTGGGATGGCTAAGAAAGTGAGTAAGGCAAGAACCTTTCAAGAAAGATTACTTGAACTCTTAAATTCTTGGGAGTTTGTTTACAAATGAGCCCTATGGGGATCGAAGTATTTATACTCATTCCACCTCCTTAATGGATAGTGGAGATCCGCTAGATCCTATGACTAAGAATTAATATTTAGAACCATCCCTAAATCTCTACACATCCCTAAAATTGTACAAGATTCTAGAATATGTAGCAAAGTGCCTTGTACGTTATACTGTGCACCTGAAAAACTACTACGAAAATACACATAAATTATTTTTCAAAAACATGCGATGATAGTTTTATAATTACAATTGCGTAGATGCTTGATTGTGCAATTCACATAGAACTATAGGAGTAATAGTTCTCTCTCTCAAACATTTTTTTTTTATAACTTAAAATTTTCATCTTCACTAAAATATAACATAAACTTTATGGACATATTTTTAGACTTTGAAAAGATAAATCATATCGATTTATTTTCGATATTCAATATTAAAATTTTCATTATTTGTCAAGAATTAAATTTACTAAAAGCAAGTTTTACGTGACGCTTGTTTTTGTGTAGAGATGTATTGGTGCATGAAAGCTAGGTAGCGGTGTGATTGATAATAATAGTATGGATTAGTAACGGACGTAGTTACTAGTTAGGCGATGGAATCGTAAGCAAGAGGGCCACGTTCACGTCCATCTCACGCCGTCAAGCTCCACATGTTAGTAGCAGGTAGCCAGTACCAATTTTTGTGTCAGTATTCGCTGCCTTTCTCCCAACTAATATATTGTCACTTCCCCTGCGTTATTTTTCACACATTTTTTTTTTATTTTTTTATTTTTAGTCAGGGGACGATAAGTATTAAATAAATTATATATCAAGCACTTTGTGCTCATGACATGTAGTGACTCTTTTATATAAAAGATCATGAGATTGAGTTTCAATTCTTCATGTTTCAACCGGAAGTATAAATGAACAGATACTACAATGTAATAGAGTCAGTAATCCTAAAAAAAATTTATATAAGTCGAGCATAAATTCAAACTAAAATAAAATTTATTGACAGATAGCTACAATTGTCCAATACCTGAGGCAACCATAGTTGTCCAATACAAAAGACAGCCACCGGGACTCTTTAAATATAAAATTTAATTTTTTTAAATTCTAAATTAAAAATGAAAATTAAATAAGTTATATAAGTCGAGCATATAATGTAATTGAATTTTCTAATTAAAATAAACTTCATTGACAAATAGTTACAGTTGTCCAATATAATACCTGAGGCAACCATAGTTGTTCAATACAAAAGACAGCCACCGAGACTCTTTAAATACAAAATTTTAATTTTTTTTTAATTCTAAACTAAAAATGAAAATTAAATAAGGTATATAAGTCGAGCATATAGTGTAATTGAAATTTTAAATTAAAATAAACTTCATTAACAGATAGTCACACTTGTCCAATACATGAGGCAACCATTGTTATTCAATACAAAAGATAGCCACTGAAATCTTTAAATACAAAATTTTAATTTTTTAAATTCTAAACTAAAAATGAAAATTAAATAAGTTATATAAGTCGAGCATATAGTGTAATTGAATTTTCTAATTAAAATAAACTTTATTGACAGATAGTCACAATTGTCCAATACCTAAAACAACTATAGTTGTCCAATACAAAAGACAGCCACCGATACTCTTTAAATACAAAATTTTAATTTTTTAATTCTAAACTAAAAATGAAAATTTTGGATATGGATTCTAGGTAACCACAAACATTTTACTTAGTTATCAAGTCAATAATAATATGTTGAACCAATAAAGTTGTTGCATATCACATTTAAGGCATGATATAAAGTTAAATCGTTTGTATTATAATATTTGAACTTTGGTAATATATATGCATATTATATATATTTATTTCGATGGAATTGGTATCATCCAAAAATTTATGATATTAAATTGAAAAATATGCAAATAAAAACTAAAATATCGTAAGAACAAACAGATTTGAAGTATTAAACTTTTTTTAAAAACCATTAAAAAGAATTGTTTATTGTTTACGTACTATTCTTGGCATGCAACTGGTACATCATAGGATCGTACCATTCTCGTGATTATAGAGGTATTCTAAGAGTTGCATACTTTTTATATGTAAAAATTTAGATACCTTATCCAAAATTGCCCATCATGAGAGAATGCACCCATTAATAGTTAATCTTATGTCATGTGGTTCTCAAGTTCTAGTAATACAATTTTTTTTAAGACTACAAGAGAAATTTACAGTTATTATCTAATGGTGTGTATAAAATGTGTAAAAATTGTAAACTACACATGAGAGATAACTTGTATTAAAGTTTACAAGAGAGGTACCCACATTGGGTGGATGTTGGTAAGAAACAATTAAACTCGTGATCTTCATGTATGAAAATCA